TTTACACAATTGATCTATGTATAGCTTGTGATAAGGATTGTAGGAGCCCCTAATAAAATGATGTTAAAAAAAAGTCTCAGAAACTCACTGGGAAAGTTCTAGCTTGTCCTATAGGGTCACTATGAGTTAGCATCATAAACTGGGGGGGGGGTGCTTGATAGATTTTAAAGAGCAGAGGATTTTGTGGTTAATTAACCATTCTGTCAACCACAGTTAGTTGGCTATTTTTAGAACTTTGTTGAAGAAAATATGTAAACTACTAAAACCCAAGAAACCACTCGGTTACTTTCAAGTCAATTCCAACTCATGGAGATCATGGGGTGCAGGGTTCTCGGAGGCTGCGGCTTTTTACAAGTACTTTCTTCCCACGTGCCTCTGGATGAATGTACACTGCCAGCCGTTCAGTTAGCAGCTCCGGGTAGAACCAGTGCGCTAGCCACGGACTCCTGATGATAACCATATTCTGCCTTGTTTTATGATACCCCAGAAACCAAACCCCACACAGTAGATAGCCCCCTCTTCCTGATGGGCTCACACTGCAGACCTTGCTTGGGGGCAGCAGCCCTGTGCTGACAGGAAGTTCCACCAAACCAGTGCACAATAAGAATAAGAAACTACAATTCATTATCATCTTCATTTGTTGTGACAAAAGAGTATTTGGATTTTAAACAGTCACACTGTCTGAAAAATAAGCCAATATTTCAACTCAAATAACCACATTAGTCTGCCTGTAATTCAGCTTGCACGTAATGCAATCAACAAACTCTAGAAAAAGATAAATGTTAATCATATAAAATTGATTTTGCTGGAATAATAATTTGTATCATATTGATTTCCACCACTAGTAGTACTGCTCAATTGTTCCTGCGTCTAAGGCCATTGATGCAGCCACAGTTGGCCCCTGGCCTGGTGTTAGCTGTTGATACTGAGCTTCTCCCAAGGATAGAGTCCATTTGACTTCTGTGTGGTCCATCTGGGGAAGTCCACGTATGTAGGCACCTTTCATGTTGCTGAAAAAAAGTATTTGAGTATTTGCCATGAACAAGTCGTTGGGTTTGCAAAATTCTATCCTGGGATCTCCAGCTTCATTTCTATCGCCAAGTCCATATGTATTTTCAACTACTGTTACTTCCCGTTTTCAACTTTTGCATTCCAATCACCAATAACTAGCAATGCATCCCGATTGCATGTCAGATCAATTTCTGACGCAAGTCCTCAGTAGATTTCTTCAATCTCTTCATCACTAGCTTTCTTTTCTTTTGGGTGGTTGGTGTGTAAAGCTGGATGAGTTGTATTGATTGGATTTCCTTGAAGGCAGTTGGTATAATCCCATCACAGAAAGCATTGCACTCCGTGATGGATTCAGCAAGATTCTTTCTGAGAGTGAATGCCACACCATTCCTCTTGAGTGTAGTATTCCAGGCACAGTCAGTCAGGATTAAAAATGGCCAATACTGGTCCATTCCACTAATGCCTAGGATATCAATCTTCATGTGTTCCATATCTCATTTTTGACTACTTCCAATTTTCCTAAATTCATACTTCGCGCATTCCAAGTTCCAATCATTAGAAGATTTTTGTAGCTCTTTCTCTTGACCTTGAAGATCCCGAAGGTCCACTCTCACAGGCTTTATCTGACTCATTTCAACAGGTCAACACCCCTCCAAGAAATCAGCTCCTCTTCAGTCACATTTCGGGTGTCCCTGAACCTGAGGGGCCCATTCATTCTCTAGCAGGAGCTAGGCCAATGTCCTGCTTCTTTTGTTTAGGCGTTCAGTATTTGGCAATGCTTTGAAACCATGCATAAGTTTTCCGGTGGCTTCTTCCTCTGAAGCGGGAGCCCGTCCTTCTCTGCTCTTTGTCTGGGAGCTCCACTGAAACCTGTTCATGTTGGTTGGCACTGCTGGCATTTGAAGCACCAGTGACATAGCTTCCAGCACCAGAGCAACACACAAACCACCACAGACTGACAGGCAAGTGGTAGAATTTAACAGTGATCAAATCCCCAAATTACATGTAGGCAAGAAAAGAAAAATGGCTAAGTATTCAAGCTAAGGCAATCTCTAATACAGGTAAATGTTTTTATAAAGAAAAAAATCTATAATTTTGTTCTTTGTGGCTTCTTCCCATACTTTTCTTCCACAAGGTGAAGGAAAAAAGATAGAGGGCAAGATCTTGGTTTTGAAAATTCTCTCTATTAACTATTTATAAATGCCAAACGATTTGCACAAAATTAATGATAAATACATACATCTGTATGTGTATTTTGTCAAGAGCAAATTGCAACAAAATTCTTTCAGAGTTTTGCTAGTTTAAGGACTTTTTAACTTGCATTTTCTAGGTGTAAAGTTTGCAACTGACAGTTTATTAGGAAGGGTCCATCGCAGTAAAATGAAGCTGATCTTTAACTTCCAAGCAGGGACTAACGAACAAGAGTTAACAGACTGAGACCGAGTCAGATGGGAGCACTCAGAGGTGACATCACCAGCACCCCAGCTGGAACAAAAGCACATTTACAGGGTCTCTTTTCCAAAGAATCCAGACCCTACGATCTTTTCTCCAATTCCACAAATAATTCGATCAAGCGGCACTCACCTCACAACCCTTTCCAAGAATTGTAACTAATTGGATTTCAAGTTTTATATTCAAATGACCTTTACGCAAGCGGCTCTCACGTCGGTGTTCGAAGAGTCTCTAATCGATACAATGTAACTTATCTAACAACTCTTAAAGCCCCAAGCACCAGCCGGACGCCACCCGCCTCACGTTCCCCAGCGCCCTGGCCAGGGCAGACCGCCCGCGTCCTCGGAGCTGACCCCGGGCAGGCCTGCCCGCTCCCCACACCCCTCCTCTGGCTTCCCCTCCGGGTGCCGGGGCCCCCTTCGCCCACTCCTCCTCCCGAGCGCGAAGGCTCGCGATGTCCCCAGGCCGCCCGCCCAGCTCCCCGGCCCGCAACCCGCCCTCAGCCCGGCGGCTGCACTCACCCACTGGTTGGCCTTCGGGCAGAAGGTGTACAGCGCGACCTGGCCCGTGAGGTCTGCGATGCTGGTGATGTACGGGTCGTGCTGCTTCAGGGCCGCCAGGCTCATCTCCTGCCCAGCTCGGCCGAGCGACTCCATCTTGGACCCTGGGCCCGGCCCCTCGCGGGGGCGGAGCCAAGTTGCTGCGACTCCGCCTTCGGCCTCGTCCGTTTCCGCCTCTGCGCGCGGCTTCCCAGCGCGGCGGCGCGGGGCGGAGCGGGGCGGGGCGGGGCCGCACGCTTCCTGCTCCGCGGCGCCCGCCCGGCATCCGGCATCCGGGTGGTCACGCCGCGGGGCGGGGCTGAGGGTAGAACTGCCGGGGAGTTCAGGGGCCTGACTGGTGCGCAGCTTCTCCTGCGTGGCAGCTGCTGGCTTCGAACTGCTCACCTTGCAGGATTTTTGTCCAACACCTAACCTTTACCCCACCGGGCTCCCACCCGCACGTAGATTTCCTAAAGTAATCCGTGGCCTTTTCTTTCTTATTCATGTTTTGTTTGCACTAGACCAGTCAAGGAAATGCTGTTGTGGCGACCCACAGCGACCCTGTGCGCAGCAGAGGGAAGCACTGCTTGGTCCCGCGCCACTCGCACTGTGGTTTGATGTTTGAGCCCATTGTAGCCACTGAGTCAGCCCATCTTGTGGAGGGCCCCGCCTCTTTTTCGCTGGCCTGCTGCTTTACCAGGCTTGATGTCCTTTTTCAAGGGCTGGTCTTACCCGACAAGGCGTTTGAAGAGCACTAGGGCTTACGTTTTGGGTACTCGGTTTGTAGAAGGCTACAGTTTATAGTGAGAGCCCTTTCTGAACATAGACCAGCTCTGTAGAAAGGTTTGCCTTCAGGCAGAGTGCCCTTGCAAGGGGATTGCGGTGACTCACGGGTCGGCTCAGCCTCAGGGCCCTGCCTGGGTGTACTTTTGAGGGAAATGGAGGCATTGGGTGTTCAGAGTCCTGGTCGGAAGGCCCAGACCCAATCCCCTCAGGATTTCTGGTCTTCCATAGAGTACACATCCCAATGATGGTCCCTTTCCCGTCCCAAACTGTGATGACTTCGTGCCACTCGATCTCCACGTCCAGTTTAAGTGGCCGTGTGGCCGGGAGTCACTGGACACCATCAGGGCTTCAAGCTGAGAGTCTGACAAAAAGGCCCAGAGAGATCCCCTCTGACCTCTTTTGGCTCCACAAAGAGAAGGAGAATCAGACTCCAGGCTGGACTGAGGCTGAGTGCTGGCAGGCAGAGGTCATACCTACCCCATCTGCCATCTCCATCCCATTCTGACCCCGCAGTCCGTCGCAGGGCACTCCACTCTGCTGGCTCAGTCACTTGTTGCACTGACCACACAGGACACCCACGGTGCTCACAATTATGGGGATTTATTAAGGCAGCTAACAGGTTAAAAATGCTAACTACATAGTTCTTTGCTTTGAAATGCCTCTTCTCTGCTATCAAGGATATATATTTTTAGCAGTTTATTGGCACTTCTGCCAAATATCATACAATCATACAATAGTTCAATCAAATCAAGAAGAGTTGGAAGAAGAAAATGTTCTGAAACTGATCATGGTCATGATTGTACAACCCTTGCATACATCGTTATTAGTGTCATTTTAAAATTGTGGCAAAAATAGACACAATTCAAAAAACAGAACAATTCAACACCACCGATTGTACTCTTCATGTTGAATGGTGATATCCTTTTCAAAAGGACTCCACCACCATTAACAGATGGAATGCCCCTACACGAAAACTCTTCCTCCTTCACCTACGGTAACCAGTGGTCAACTTTAGTTTTGTTGTTGTTGTTGTTTTTCAGTTTTCTTGTATAAAATTCACATCATAAACTTCTATACTAAAGTTGCTTTTCCTGTGTGATCACGAGGTGTCAAAGGGATCAGGTATCAGGCATCAAAGAACAAAAAATCAAATCATTGTGAATGAGGGGAAGTGTGGAGTGGGGACCCAAAGCCCATCTGTAGGCAATTGGACATCCCCTTACGGAAGGGTCATGGAGAGGAGAGGAGCCAGTCAGGGTGCAGTGTAGCAACGATGAAACATACAACTTTCCTCTAGTTCCTAAGTGCTCCCCCCCCACTCGCCCCCCCACTACCATGATCCCAATTCTACTTTACAAATCCGGCTAGACCAGAGGATGTACACTGGTACAGATAGGAACTGGAAACACAGGGAATCCAGGACAGATGAACCCTTCATGACCTGTGGTGAGAGTGGCGATACAGGGAGGGTGGGGTGGAAAGGGGGAACCAATGACAAGGATCTACATATAACCCCCTCCCTGGAGGATGGGCAACAGAAACGTGGGTGAAAGGAGACAGACAGTGTAAGATATGACCAAATAATTTATGAATTATCAAGGGCTCGTGAGGGAAGGGAGGGAAAAGGAGCTGCTACCAAGGTCGAAAGCAAAGGCGAGAATGATGAGGGCAGCAAGTGTGCTTGACACATGGATGGATGGAGGGTGATGAGAGTTGTACGAGCCCCCAATAACTTGATTTTAAAAAGCAAAACTAAACTAAAGCTGCTTTTAAAGAGTTTTATATATGTCATCACAGTCAGTTCTAGTGCTCCCTTCCCACACTCGGTGTTTGCTCCCCAGCTCCCCCCCCCTTATCCCTCCATAAACCCTTGCATCAGCCATTGTCCCTACGAATCCACTCCTTCTGTGCTGCATAAACTGGGAAACCTAGCAGAAACAATAAAAAACAAAACAAAGTGAAACAGATAGAAAATAATAATATAAAGACTAAAGTAAAAGAACAAGGAAAAAAAGACCACCAACAATATTCAAAAGAGAAGAAATTTCTGTCGCGGTACAAGTGAGAAATATTTGAGCCTCGAGCAAATTCAGGTTGGGTCAAGAGGGAGGTCAGCTGACCAAGTATCCCATGGCCTAATCCGCCATAATCAAGTTTACAATGGTCTCTGTCTCATAGTGAGGCTGATAGTGAAGAGGGGATCTGCCAGAGAATGACTAGATCTCAGCAGACCTCCGTGGGCTTCCACTGCCCCACACAGACGTCTGCAAAACGGGTGCGCACTATTTAAGCTCCGAGGTTTTCCCCTTCATCGTATTTGGGTTTTGTTATCCTCTTTATATGATTGCATTGATAACTTCAATTATGAGGAGTTTATTCTAGTTTAGTCCAGCTTTGAGCTGCAGTCCGTGAGTTGTTGCTTTGTACAGATCCATTTCTTAATTGATTGAGTTCTGTGTTTACATTGAGCATGGGGGGTTGGTGCTAGGGGAGCATTTACTGTAATATTTATTACACAGGCAGCTCCTTATCTATCATTGATACTTGTCATATTAATGCAAGGGGCGTCTTGAGGGACTAAATGTATGGTGGTTCTGGGTCCCCTTTAAGCCAGGGGTCCTGCTCAAGGTCCAACGACTGCCATTTCCAGTCTTGGGGTGGCCATCCTTGCTGCCTCTCCCATCAGGGAATTTCACTCCTAATTCCAAGGGCGACAGGTAGTTTTCAGGTAGGGCCCCATTTGCTCAGTCCGACTTCCCACATGGAGTCTGTCTGGTGTGGCCAGGGAGCTCCTTGGAGGCAGGGATGGCAAGATGTGGTCTCGCATGCTGTGGCCATATTGTCAGGAGAGACCAGTCGCGGGAGAAAGACGTCACTGCTGACAAAGTGGAAGAGCGGAGAAAAGGACGGCCCTCGAGAGGACGGGCAGTGGCTGCAATAAAGGCCCCAGGCGTGGGAGCCCGGTAGGACGGCCAGGCCGTGCAGTGTCCATCCTGCTGCACACTGGTTGGCACCGACTTCATGGCTCACGCAGGAACGGCAACAACGATACAAAACAGATTTTAATTTTGGGCCCCTCTCCCTCTCAGAGCACTATTCACCAGTATCAATAGTGTAATTTCTCAAGATTGGTATTGCGTGTACATCATGGCTACCTGATTGTCAATTAAAGACGGAGCCCGGGTGGCATAGTGGGTTACACATTGGGCTGCTAACCTCAAGGTCAGCTGTTTGAAACCATCAGCTGCTCCGGGGGAGAAAGATGGGTTTTTCTAGTCCGGTAAAAAGTTAGTCTTGGAAACCCACAGGGGCAGGTCTACACTGTCCTACAGAGTCTCCATGAGCCATATCTGACTCCATAGCAGTGGCTCTCAGTGTGTCCATTAAGGAGTTCAGAGGCACAAGGAAATGAGTTCACTCGCCCATGGCGGACGGTGCTATTCACCACAATCTCTTTTCCCTCTTCCATTTCCGTTGCCACACTTCCTTTCTCCAGCTTCACGGAGGTTAGACAGGTCACTGTGCTCCAGCTGTGGCCAGCAGAAAGTGTGTGGACGTGTGGAGGGATGAGGTTGCCCTTGCATCCTTGCTCGTGCCGCCCCTCTGCAGTCTGGGCACAGGCAGAGGTGAGACTAGGGGCGGTAGAGTCACAGGATGCAAAGATGCTAGCGTCAACACCCGAAGGGGAGCTGCTTTCTGGGCAGGAGCATCTTCCTTAGACTATTAGGAGTGCATACGAAGCAGACACTGTGAGGTTGGGTATTATGTACTCAGGGGTCGCCTTGTTACCATGTTCGAGTCTATGCCAGCCAACTGCGTTGCCCCAGATTGTCCACAGCGTCAGCACTAAGATTTCCGTCTCCTGAGGTCGACTTGCCGGCACATACGTGCTGCTTAGTGCTTTGACAATGAGTCAAGATTTGAAAAAACTCCAGCCAGAACTCTGCATTTTCAATCAGTCATGGGCACAATTTGCAGAGTCACAAAGTGGCTAAAGACCAAACATCGTTTTGCTTTTGCCATTGCGTCATGACCTGCACATGCTAAGTCAGAATGGAGGCGTCATTTTAAAGTGTCCTTCCCATGATCCCCACAGACACTCTGAGCTCCTATGACGCTGAAGCCAACGCGGCCGAGGACTTGAAGGGCGGCTTTCTGCCGTGTCGGCCCTGAGCCGTGCCGGTGGAAATGAAGAGTAAGTCCTGAGAGCAGCGTGCAGGCTTTCTCTGCCTTTGCAATTCTCCTCCATGTCTGCCCAGTGTCCGTCCTTGGCTGCATCTAGTCTCACCTTACCGTTTGACGCGTGCCGGTGCTTCTTCATCTGGCATAATGAAC